GTTCTCTGCAAAAGGTGGTCAGCCCCCCTTCTTTGGCAATACATAAAGGAGAATTCTACTACCTGAGGGTTATAATCCGTAGGTGCGGCCGAAGGCCGCCTACGCAGAAAGGTTTTCTCTGCAAAAGGTGTTCAGCCCCCCTTCTTTGGCAACACAGAAAGGAGAATTCTACTGCCTGAGGGTTATAATCCGTAGGTGCGGCCGAAGGCCGCCTACGCAGAAAGGTTTTCTCTGCAAAAGGTGTTCAGCCCCCCTTCTTTGGCAACACAGAAAGGAGAATTCTATTGCCTGAGGGTTATAATCCCTAAGTGCGGCCAAAAGCCACCTACGCAGAAATGTGTTCTCTACAAAAGGTGTTCAGCCCCCTTCTTTGGCAACAAAAATATATATTTTTTCTGTGAAATGATTTTTCTCCAAATTTATCCACATTAAGTATTTTGGCGCATGTTCATAGTCATATTTAGTACTCAACTAAGTCGAAACTATTCTAAGTCACAACTAAAGCTCTTCATAGTCGCCTTAGTTTCGACTTTTCTGGCTAAGTACCAACTTAAAATTTAGTTTCGGCTGCAGTTGCAACTAAGTCGTAACTAGGAAGAAGTATTTTATCAAATTAAGGGAAAACAGACGAAATATGTAAAAATTAAATTGGTAGAGGGTGATTTTGATAGTACTGAATAATCTCCAATTAAAATTTACAAAGATCGATCCATTTTATTCGGAAGATGAAAATAAATGCGTATTACAATTCGAATAAAGCTAAATCAAAAATTTATAATTGGAATAATTTATATAAATTCTCAAATAATAAATCAGTTTCACGCTAGTTCCTTTAAAGTAAATTTGTGCATAACATTTAGATATCTACTATTTGTATGTTTCGCAGCATGCTTTCGATAAACATCGACTTCAAATCACTGCGGTTGTTCTGGCTATTTCACACAATTAACAAGAAAAGATACCTTTTTCTTTTGCATATCATGCAATGAAAATAAAAATTACATAAACGGATGATCAAACTTGACATTATTTAATAAACATTTAATTTTTCCAAAATATCGTAATGAAAAATCGATACATTTTCACACTCATTTTGCTATATCGAAAAACTAAGTCGAAACTACTTAGTAGAAGTCTGAAATGCGACTATAAATAGAGGTAAATTTTAAGTTGGTACTTAAATTTAAGTTGCAACTTTGTTAGTTTCGACTTATGCAGCGTTTTTGCTGCATTTAAAATGCAACATTTAGCACTTTCGAACATATGTTTTCGAAGAGCGTTCATGCTATCGCATTTAGCAAATGTACATTTACGCGAGTTCGAAATCGTATGCTTTTGACAAACAGCCGTGTTCCAGTCGCTTATTCAGATCCGTATCCATTACGATAAATTCCCACGGAAAAGATAATGTGCAAAAACCCCTACTGAAAAGGAAAAATAAATTCTAAACCGAAAATTCAATACAAAAACCTGAATTGTTTTAACCATAACCGAACATTTGTTTGTGTATATATTCATTTGTCGGTGCTGCCAATTATATTTTCCACACCTAATTAGGAAACAAAACAAACAGAGTTGATCACAAATTAATCCAGATTTCTATCAGCATCATATCGATGTTGAATTTGCGTAACTTTTCTTTATCCAAATAATGTAAAATAATAAATGAAATCTCGATCGGCGATCACTGAAACGCAGCTAGCGGTTGTATACTCGAAAAAGCAATGTTGCCACTTTTTCTCATTAAACCATGTTCGAATCGTGGAAATTTTGGAAGATCACAGGGATGCTTTTAGCATTTAGATTCTAAATGCAAAGATTGAGTTGCATTTAGTTGCATTTAGATGACGAATTTTGTATGGATAAATGTACATTTAGAGTAGCATTTAGAGCTAAATGCGCTAAATGTACATTTACGCGTAACCAAAAACAGCCCATTAGTTGCTGGACTATGAATACGCGCCATTAATATGTTCATATAGCAAAAAAGGGGATTTTATATACCTTTCTAACGATACCAATTTTTTTAAATTCGGTCAGGAAATTTTTGAAATATAGCCATTTTAAATTTTCGAAAATTCCCCCTTCCCCCCTCCATATCACCGAAAATATAAGTTTGCACCAAAAAAATTTTTGTACCAGTAAAATCAGGAAGGAAGGGCGGACCACGCCCACTTTTTCGTTTTATTCTACCTTAACGGGCCGTATTCTGCACCTGTTCCGGCGGGGCCCTCACGCATTTGTTCCGAAAGTTGATTTATGTATCGTCTTGGCAGCCCTGGGAACTAATGACTATAGTAAATCGATAAGTTTCATTTTGTACATATCTAATTTGTTCGAATGCTAAATTTTTTGCTACTGTCTGAAAAAGAAGGTGTATATTGGAAAATTGTAGTGGTGGTGGAATATTATACTGTTCAGGGACTAAATATTGAGCGGCACTTTAGATATTAATATCGACATAAAATCTTTCTTCCTATAAAAGTAATAGAAGATTTGGTCTAAAAATGTCTGAATTACAATCGTCTTTATTATTAAAAAAACAATTAGCAGGTGAGTTGGAAAAGTCATGTGAATACGAAGAATCTCTAAAGATTTTGATGCAACTTAGGATATACATTTTGTTGTAAGATATGAATTTATCGAAACCACATTTTTGGTTTTGTAGATGCAATACAATACCTAAAAGACATGACTACTTAACGCATTTACGCATTTGAAACTGCAGTTTTGGCTGTATAAACGAATGACGATGTAATTGTCATGGATACCAATTTAATAAAGTTTTTATGCTCTTATAATTTTTTTCTCCAATTGTTTTAAATTAACATGGACATCCATCTTTAATAGGACATGTATGTTATGCATGTTAAACGAGAAGTCTGAATAGTAAAGCTTGTGGTCAAAGTAAACACTGCATTTGGAAGCTTACGAATTCCTTATAGCATTATTCAATCTGAATATGAATATGAGTGTATATATATAGAGAATTTCAACCCCTGCCCATTTGAATTCTAAGCGAACTTGACTCAAATTCACTCGGAAATGAATTGCAGAACCTACCGGAATGAAGAAAATAGTCAAACTGTATTTTGAGATAAACAATCTACCTTTTGCAGAGGACACCTTACTGTGTAGGCGGCCTTCGGCCGCACTTACTGATTATAACCCTCAGGCAGTAGAATTCTCCTTTCTGTGTTGCCAAAGAAGGAGGGCTGAACAAGTTTTGCAGAGAACAACTTTAATTTTATCCATTTATTTGCATCAAATTCATCAAAACATGGTGCGAAAAGTGCAAAGTGTTTTGTGTGAATAACTCTGAAATTAATTAAAAATCTTAATACCCCGACGGATTGTTATTGTTCGTGTTAAAACGCGTCGATTGATATCACTTGATTTGTTCCGTCCATTTTTACCTGATTCCCGTAGAGTGCACTAGGAAAAGGGGAAATGTTTAGTTATTTGCAGGTCGTTTTTGGAGTGGGGGTGGAGGGGGAGGGGGTGTTTCTGTTTTGAGAAGAAAAGGAGCTGAACACCCTTCTGCGTAGGCGGGCGTCGGCCGGACTTAGGGATTCTACCCTCACAAAGCAGAATTCTCTTTCTTTTTTGCGAAGAAAAGGAGCTGAACACCTTTTGCAGAGAACACTTTTGTACATTTTTAATACTGACTGGGTTATATCCTATCTTCGGAACAAATGCACAATACCACCAAATCTCGAATTAAAAAAAAAAAAATAGGATCGATAGAGACCATTGAGGTGAACATAACGGTATATTTATTTTTTTTGGGCAACAACAACTACAACAATTATTAAAGGTCAAAGTTCAAACTAAGCATTTTCTCAAATTAATATTTCTCGAAAACCTCTTCAAGGAATTGGACAATTTTGATAGAGAATTTAATTCTCTTTAATTTGATATACATATTTATACATATACCTTTTTATAGTTTTCACGAAAATGGAATTAATATGGAAAAAAAGTATACAGGGTTTTTGTGTATAAACTTTTTTTTGCGTAGGCGGCCTTCGGCCGCACTTATGGATTATAACCCTCACAAAGTAGAATTCTCTTTCTGTGTTGCGAAGAAAATGCGCTGAACACCTTTTGCAGAGAACACCTTTCTGCGTAGGCGGCCTTCGGCCGCACTTATGGATTATAACCCTCACAAAGTAGAATTCTCTTTCTGTGTTGCGAAGAAAAGGCGAAAGAAGAGAAATATTAATTTGAGAAAATGCTTAGTTTGAACTTTGACCTTTAATAATTGTTGTAGTTGTTGTTTCCCAAAAAAAAAAAAATACATCGTTACACTCACCTCAATGATCTCTATCGATCCCCATATGAAATTTTTTAATTTGAGAATTGTACGTATTCTGCATTTATGCCNTTATCGAACAATTTAGCGAATGTACTTTGTTTGACAATCGCTCTATAGTTTTTCACGTCACTGCGATCACCGGACTTAAAGATTGGAGAAATTGAACAAACTTTCCAGCGGTCGAGAAAAACTCCATTCTTGAGACAAAGGTTAAACAAAAATGCAATAGGCTCAATGATGTGACAAGCACAGTGTTTGAAGAATATTGCTGGAAGGTCGTCACGCTCATATTTACAACTTGGCTTTAGATCCACAATTGCAGCCAAAAATTCATCTTCAGATATAAGAAAGTCTTCAAGTCTTTCAGTAAATTGCTGGTGAGATGAGCACATGCGTGGGTTGAACTCACAGTAAACGTTTTGAAAAAACTTGGCAAATAGATTGCATGCTTCTAGCGTGTTATTTGAGCGCTCGCTATTTAATTCTAGACTTGATGGAAGGCCGTTTGTTTTGCGCTTTGCATTTAAATAATGCCAAAATGATGACGGGGTTGCTTTCAAATTATTTTCCGTTATATGAAGGTAATGCTTATAGAGAAATTTATGCAGAAGTTCAAATCTGTCTCTCGCTTGTATACAATACAAATACAATACCCAACCACAAAATTTCATTGAAATCGGTTATGCGGGACACGGGATTTTTATATACATATTGTTGAAGACATGAGTGCCAACTAACTAAAGTCTTAAATTTAAATTGTTCATTCATACTTTAAAGTAAAATGTAAACATACCAACACTAAAATTTGAATACTTTCCTTAAAATTATTGCATACATACATACTTACCTTTTAATACTTCAAATTAAGACTTACTTTTGTACTCAACGGAAACGCTTAAACCCATGGTGAATTTCTACATATGTAATAACTAATGTTAAGCTGCCTAAAAGGCAAGAGAGAAATTAGTTTTTTAATCGCTCGCTACATCCCCACGAATACGGACCTCTCCAATCGCTCGTTTATATTTATTGTAAATAAAATTATTCGAAATAACTAAAAACATTAAAACCGAAAATCTACTCTTTTATTTCAACGGAAATAATTATTATTTTGTTTATTCTCCAAAACGTGAATACATATTAATACGATGCGAGGCATAGAAAAAATTTCGATGAAAAAAAAATATTTTTCGCGGGTTCAAAACTATCCTATCTTTTAAGTTGGAACCAACACACACCCACAAAATTTCAGTGAAATCGGTTAAGTGGTTTCGGAGATTAGCGTAAACCAGAGGTAGACCCCTCTCAAAACTTTACTGGTTTCGGTGGACACCCTTATGCTCATTTCTAACATATTCCCAAAGCTCATCAAAAAATGTGAAGATTAAATCTAACGATGTAATTTCGCATCGCGGATGAGTTCCAAAACTAAATTCGGAGTGGCAAAAATAAAAATAAAGTATTTTCTTGTGTTCTATTTAATAACATAATGTGATTACACACTTGCAAGTTTTAAAAAACAGAGCTCGTAAAACCATGAAAGAACGATTTCGCTCCGAGGAGTTACATTTTTTAAGAGCACTAAATAAACTCCTCACATGTTCGGCTCACTCATGAATTTGCATGTGATGTATTTGTCAAATAGTTTATTTGTGTTGATTGCATCATTTTTATTTTTATCACTCCGAGTTTTAAAGTGATGCGAAAAATGTTCGTTACTCGCATTTTAAAACACAAAACTTGAAACAACAAAACTGCAAAGCTTTTTATGTCAAACTTCAAATTCAGAAACTGACAAAAAAGAAAAGACCGAATCTAGATAAATCGATGATAAACAAACAAGCCAGCACGAAGCTCAAGAAGTTTTCTACCGTATCATCCTCTTCAAAGCAGGATGGGCAAATGGAGTTGTCATTTACACCTATCACAGTCAGGTGTTTGTGCCACGTGAAGTCAGCAGTCCCGTCTTCTCAGTGAGGAGAAAAAACTAGATAGACCCTCTGAGATTGAAGGTAGCATGAGTTTTGCCCACCTACATCCACTCGATGGCTCCCAGTCCTTGCATATTCCCCAAGAGAAAAAGTGGAGCTTATCCCCATTAACTTCGAAAAATACTCCATATTCTGACTCTGAGTCAGTTTGAGAGCCATCGGTGACGATTCGACAATGTACGAGTGCGGGGTCAGTGTTGGAATTAAAACAGCATTCCCCCTCAGGGAATTCTCTCTCTCCATAATCTCTTCAACAAATGTAATGGGGGCGTACTATTCTGTAGCGTTGAAAAGACACAAGTGCTCAAATATCTTCCGCCGGCAATTTCCTTTAATCTTTGGCCTTTAAGGCTTCCCCACGTATGGTGACTCAAAGTGACGGTAGATTTTCAAAAGATGGGTATCAATCGAAATGGTTTGAAAATAATTTATTTCTGAAAAATCAAGTTCAACTTAGTTCATCAGTTAATTGAAATATGTATAACAATGCCAGACGGTAAAAAGATTTTAGTTTGAAAATACTTTTAAAAGAGTTGCCCCCTGTTTGAAAAGTTGTAAGACTTTTAAGAAAATTTGAGGCTGATAATATTTTTAATTAGGGTTGCCATCTATTTGTTTGAAGGTCATCGAACTGCACCGTTATTTCGAATTTACAAAATGAGAAGTCACATTAAAGAAAATGAGAAGTCACATTAAATTCGAGGTCGCTTCGCTATTTTTACACCCACTCTGGGTGTTTGTTGTTAGAAGAAACATTCGAAATTACAACTACATGGTATAACTTTTAGTACACTAAATACACAAAGGAAAATGTTAATACTACTAGCCATATGGCTTGGAAAACAAAAAGGTTTTTAAAGGTATATACATATATAAGCCCAGAATTAGGCTAGACATATATACACATTTAAGCTTTATTGTTAAGTTTGAAAAAATAAATTGCACCAGTTTCAATTTTGCGCTCTTGGTTTACATTTTTTGTATATGTATTAAAATTTATCTTGTACTATGTTGTAGATTTAAGCATTTGTATAACTTGTATTAATATCTATGGTTTTCTTTTCAGAGTTGAATAAGAATCCTGTTGAAGGTTTCTCGGCAGGATTGATTGATGAGAACGACATATTTCGATGGGAAGTTCTCATAATAGGACCACCGGATACACTTTAGTAAGTTGGTCGTTATATCATGTTATATCATTTTAAGAGTGAATTTAAACCTTTAAATTCGTTTTCTGAAAAATATCGTCGATAGTTTTTAGTAAATAAGCGATATGTATGTATATTAGGCTGGGTCGATTTTGTTTGGGGGAAAATAAAAAGCATTTGACCGTATTGTAATAGTAATATTAAGATGTCTTAGGTCTAAGCCAATTATTATTGGTCGCGAAAGATTAATTTAAAACTTATCTTTATCCCGCGCAATGGAATCAAAGTGTATGAGTTTTTAAATTGAAACTTTGACTTGTAATATCTATTAAATGCGTTAATTGTTATAAACAGGACGATATATCAGATTAAGGGATATTAAATTTAGTACCTCACGTTCATTTATTATTTTTCAATAAGTCTACAAGTTTTTAAGATATTAAGATACAACTTACAACTACTATAATTTTTCCTTATGAATTCTCAATTCTTAATTACTTCAGCAACCAAGTGAAAAATGTAAAAAAATGAGGCGAGATTTATTTCAAACGTTTTAATGTTTTCGGATGTTTATATAATATTAATAGGACCATGGACTGGGTCACGCCGATTTGGTCAGTTTTCAAGATCGTGGTGAATGAAGTCAAACATTAAGAATCGCTTGATAAGTTAATAGTAGGTTCAAGCATATAAGTATTTACATACATTAACATAATACAATTAGGATGAGAAACGCCCATTTTAAGTTCATTTATGAAGTCTTGAAAATTGGAGCGNAATTACTTCAGCAACCAAGTGAAAAATGTAAAAAAATGAGGCGAGATTTATTTCAAACGTTTTAATGTTTTCGGATGTTTATATAATATTAATAGGACCATGGACTGGGTCACGCCGATTTGGTCAGTTTTCAAGATCGTGGTGAATGAAGTCAAACATTAAGAATCGCTTGATAAGTTAATAGTAGGTTCAAGCATATAAGTATTTACATACATTAACATAATACAATTAGGATGAGAAACGCCCATTTTAAGTTCATTTATGAAGTCTTGAAAATTGGAGCGGAATGGTTTCGTTAGTCACCGAAGAAGCACATTTTTCGCGGTTTCTAAATTTGCCGTTATATGAAAGTAGGGGACGTCCAATAAGTGTTTAGATATACATAAATATTTTAGTTAATTCCATTATGTGAAAAAGTGACTGTAGGTAAATGCAATAGTCTTTAACATATCCTGGGAAATCCTTTGGAGGACTCTCCTATTGGACGATATTGCTTTGCATTCAGGTTGAACGAAAAAAAGTCACTCCCTGGAACACTTTTTCTGTAATCCGGTTCTTTTATCAAAAACCTATTCATATATGTAATTGAAGAGAAATTTTTGTAGAAAAAACCCGGAGATCCCCCTAAGTTTTTCGATATAACTTTGGTAAATATTACTCGATCGGTACGTAATAATTACCAAATTGAAGGCGAGACTTACTGTTACTGATTTGTGATAATAATATGATGAAAATGGTTCAGATTATAAACAAATTATTTTAAAAATAAAAAATAAATTTTGAACAAATTTTTTTGTCATTTTCCTATATTTGCAATTTTTATGTTGTATGCATAAACATAGGTAAACTAATTAGTCTGCCTAGAAGTTGTGCCTGTTCAGTGTTTCCATACTTATTTGCATGGACAAAATTTTTCCACGATGATGGAAAATAACGGCTTTTCTATTAGAGTTACGAAATTGGTCATAAATTTGCAAAAATTCGCAAACTATAGCTAATATAAAAAAAAGAGTAGAATATTTGGAACCAGCGACCTAAATGCACGCAAGCAATATTAATGCTGTTCTTTACATCTTTTGACTATCGCCCAGTGTAATTATCAAAAGAACAATACAAATTTTATTGAAATAAGACAAGTTTGAGATTAACGATAAGCTAAAGGGCTGCGAGAAATGATATTTGACTTTATCTTTTGCGTTAACGGATTCATTATCTAATAATTTGCACCAACCCTTTTTGCTGAACCCGGAGTTTTTAACAACAATTGGTCTTATTCGACTAGTGTTCTGTGGGTCACTTGGCGGTCGATGCGCGGGCTCTTACAATTAAAATAAAAGACTAATATTTTGCAGACTTGTTGTTGACTTCATGAGACAATATATTTTCACTACTACTAAGGGATTTGAGAAAAATTAGATTTTCGACCGGCCCTAATGTATATACATACATCAGACTGTCGCAAAAAACCAAAGTTGTTTTTTTAACGCATACCTCCTCATTTTTTTTTAACGCATACCTCCTCATTTTATTGGGTTTGTCTTAAAAACTATCCGAATAAAGGTTTATGCAATTTGCACCACGGTAACGCGTGCCGACTTGCAGTCAAAATTATCAGGAGACAACGGATTTTTAGGACCTAAAAACCTAGAAAAAGGCAAAATAAAATATTGAAATAGGCTGGAAAAGGTAAATAGAATTGCGAAGTAAGCAAGAAAGGGCACTAGAAATCGCAACACCGTCAATCATGCGACACTTATAGAGGACATTATCTCGTCCTCCCTACCGCCGCACACAAAACGTTGGATTATCAGTTACGTGTGCGGGAGGCAGTCATCTGTTGTATTCAGAAACAAAACATCAAAGCCGCATAGGATTAAGCAGGGTGTACCACAAGGTGGGGTACACCTTTGAACTACGCAGCGCCAGTGTGGTCGCCAGGGACTAGTAGGACGCAGTGGACGAAGCTACAGACAGTACAGAACACCGCACTCAGGACAGCGACAGGATGCCTCCTGATGTCGCCTGAACACCACCTGCACGGCGAGGCGCAAATGCTCCCTGTAAAAGAGCATAACATAATGCTCTGCAAGCAGTTCCTGATCGGGAGCCACAGAAGTGGCCACCCAAGCAGACAGCTGCTTGCAGAGGAGCCCTCGCCTAGGCACGTCAGGAGGCATCTATATGAACTGACAGACGAAGTCCAGAGGTTCATTAAGCAACCTCTGGACCCGACAGCGTACCGACAGGCCCTGAAAGGCATTCACAGGGAGTCAGTCTCGAGTTATGTAGACTGTAGACCTGTGAATGCTTTTCTAGGGATGCCGCCCCCGGACACAGACGAGACGGAGCTTCATCTGCCTCGGGAGACACGCACAACACTCGCACAACTTCGCTCCGGCTACTGCAGCAGGTTGAACTCCTACTTGAGTAGGTTGAATGAGGATGTGCCGAATGAGTGTCCGGCATGCGGAGAGACCCCACATGACTCGAAACATCTCTTCGCATGCCCGGAAAACCCGACAACCCTAACGACCTTGTCCCTGTGGGCAAACCCCACAGAAGCTGCACACTTCCTAGGGTTGCCGTTAGTGGAACTTGACGACAACGACTGAGATACCAACCGTCCTGGGCGGGGTTGTTGTAGCCGCTACAACAACAACAACAACAAGGTGGGGTACTATCACCGATCCTGTTTAACCTATATCTAGCGAAACTCCCTCCTCCACCTCAGGCAGTCTCTTTAGTCTCATACGCGGATGACTGTTCCATCATGGCAACAGGCAACAGCATCGACAGCATGTGCACACTGCTCAACCGCTACCTCGAGGTGGTGTCCGAGTTTTTCACAGCGCGAAGCTTACAAATCTCTTCCGCTAAGTCAACAGCTACACTCTTCACCACGTGGAACCTGTTCGCATGCCCTACATATCCCACCCAACTGACACCCGAAGCGTTGCGGACTCAACCTATCGAGACTGCTCGCTTCTTGGGCCTAAGGTTGGAGAAGTCAGATGGGGAAGATGAAGATAAATAAACTACCAACCAATTCGGGGACTACGTGGTGCTACAACAACAACTAGAAATCGCAAAAAAGGCAAAGGAAGGCACTAAAAAAGTCAAAACCCGAAAAATAATCAAAAAATCCATTTATTTTAGAAATGTTTATATTAAAATTAAAAAGAGCAAAACTATAAACTAGTTTCATTATATGAAAAATTTTAACTTTGAATCTTAGACTATTTTCTCCGTTCGAGTTTTTGTCTCACAAAACTTTAATCTCTATAGTTGTACATAGTAACATTGAACCACGAAATGCATTTTTAAGTTTTCTGGGAGCATCTTCATTCGATTCTCGCGAAGAAATACCTTGAATGTACTAAACGTGCGCTTGACGTGAGTTGATACAAGTGGCGCCCAATTTAAATATGGAAGGTTTGAAACTTTCAACTTTTTCTTCGCTATAATCACTTTTTTAAAGGTAGAAAAGGCAAAAAAGGCAAATATCATAAAAAAGGCCAAAAAGGCAACATCGAATGTGGAATCAGGGAAAGCTAAATTGTGATCATTCTTAATCGAATATACTCTTCTCTTTAACAAAAACGCAATTTCCATAAAATCCTTTCCCTGGTTATCAAAATAAGCTTTGTGCAGTTCGCGTGTTTGTTAATTTATTCATTTACTTCGGTATAATACGGTATTACTATACTCCCTACAGTATTAGGAAATAATATTTAGTAAACCTGCGTTGGTTTTTTACAAGGTAGTCGGTCTTTTTTCAACAGGGCCATAAATTATAATACATTTCCAAAGTTTACACAAAATAGCGATACATGGGTATCAATTGAAAGAAGAATTCGAAACAAGCTTAATTAATACTTTTGATTCCAATTATTCTTTTTACATGTAAAAATGTACTTTGAAAATATTCTCCTTCATAGAAGGGTATTATGGGATGCATTTTTCAAAGGATATTTTTCAAATATTTTTAATTAATACTTCCACATACAATGGCACCGCCCACTTTATGACCACAAGGTGTATCTCGGTAGATTTCTACCAAACTTGGTTCAATTATTTCATTAACTCTAATGCAGCATATTATCGAAAAAGTTTAAAATCGAGGAAATCCCCCCTTCTTATCATACAAATGTAGTTTACAGAAAGTTGAAACGACGATATTTGATACCTGCGCCGGGTATATAAAGTTCGGTTTCGCCCGAACTTATACTTCATTACTTGTTTAT